GAGACAGAGAGACAGAGAGAGACAGAATCCCAAGCAGGCTCTGCACTGTCAGCAGGGAGCCCAATGCGGGGCTTGAACTCACAAAACTGTGAGATCGTGACCTGAGCCGAAACCAAGAGTTGGACACTTAACCGACCGAGCCACCCAGGCGCCCCCTGACTTTCTGTTTTAAGGGCACATTGAAAGATTCAGTCTGAGGCAGTAAGGGGGGGTCAAGAGTCACCCCCACCTCTTGAGGTCCTTCCAGCCATGGGGATCCCAACCCGTGGTGCACCCAGGATTAGGGCCTGCTGATTGAAAGGTCCCTGGGGACATAAGTGCCCTCCTCTCTTTCTGAAAAAGCTTTCCTAGAGCAGAACACTGCAGTCAAGAAGGTCCTTAAGATAAACAAACACACCCATATGAAACCGGAGGAAAGGGTTTCATGGCAGAGAAGCAGGCGGAAGGCCTGGGAGGATGCCACAGATGTAGGACCTTTTGAGAAGGTGCCTAGCAGAGGGGCTTCGGCACCAGTGTCCCTAACCCCGCCACTGACAGCACACCCCACCTGCCTACCACCTTAAAGGGACCACCAGACCCCTCCCTCAGGGGGGCGAGAGCAAAGACCACAGGAGGGTGACAGAGACCTTCCTGGCCCCCACCACGCACTGGGCCCCTGGTGAGCTGTTTGATCATCTGATTTCCGAATGAGAAAAACTGTCTCACAGAGCCCTGGCTGGGTCCATTACACGAGTGCTTCTCACACTTTATTCCCAGAACTCTTCGGTGCCCCTTCAAGGATACACGAGAGACTGGTCACAGGGTAGGACAATCAATTTCTCCTGCGTGCCCTGGTAATGCTGGGGTTTTTACTGTGTGCAGGTATTCCTTTAAAATAAAAAAGATGACGACACTGTAGGTTTACACAGGCACTAGCCCCAAGAGTGTGGCCAGGAGAGGGTGGGGCCCCTGTGGTCACAGGGCAAGGCTGTGGCCTTGGGCCACCCCACCCGGTCTGCCCCTGTGTCAACGTGCCGGCTGGCTGGCGGCATAAAAATAAACTGAGCAGCATTACTGACAGGTTATTATTACACCCCGGCTCGTCCAGGGGCTTTCTGAGCCCGGCCCGCTCGTTCCTCTGCTTTCCTGTCAGCTGCCCTTGGCCCTGGAAGCCGAGCAGGGTGGTTATCGATCAGGCCCAGCTCTCAGCAAGGTTCTCCTCTCCAAAGAGGTTTCAGCTTTTCGCCTGCAGCTATTTTTGGGGCCTGGGCTCCACAGACGGGGCCTCTCTCAAATGGTCCTGTGTGGCCGGCCTAGGTGCCGCCCACGTCTCTGCCCGCCCCACAGAGCCCGGCAGGGCCCTCCCGGGGGGCAGGTGTCACTCACCAAGCTAGCTCAGGCTGGATGCTCCCCCTGTTTTGTGGCAAGGGATAGATTCTGGGGCTGGGCGCCTGCAACCCCCACTATTAGCACGGACCCCAGAGTTAATCCTTGCCCCCTTTTCAAATGCAAATTCACGTGTGCCTCAGAAGCTCCCTGGGCTTGGCAGCCCTGGAATGGAAACAAAGGCTGAATGAGAATAGAGTGGCCAGACTGTCCCTAACTTCAGCGAGGCCCAGGGCCAACCGGGCACAGTCCACCCATTCTCTGGCTGACACACTGGATCGTTTACACCCAGGATCATGTTTGGGCCACTGAAAGGCCCGAGAGGGTGGCACCCGGGCAGGGAGATCCCCCGCCCCCACTGTGGGCTAGAGGGGCAGGGGGTGTGGGAGGGGGCAACGGGGACCTACCTCAA